TCTCTGGCTCCCCTAAACCCAGCAACCCGCTATCTCTGTCAGAAGGTAGGTTTTTTTTTTTTCCTTCTCTTCTTTCATTTGTTAATTTCACACTTTTCCTTACCACACAGGACCACCCTCAGCTCTACAGCAGACCACACTTCCAACTCCAGACCCCTGTTCTTTATTCTCCGTCTTACTTTCTTCCCTCTTATATTGTCCTTTAGGGACACAGTTAGAGATAGAACCTGAGGTGTGGGGATATGCTCTGAGCAAACACCACCTGTCCTTTTAGGGTTTGGCAGAACCTTATAACTTGTCCTTTCCTTGACCTTTGCTGCAGACAGAGCAAGGGTGGAAATTGTTAGGGGCATGCCAACAGACACATCTGATGGACTTCAAGAAACATCTTGACCCCAATTAGTAAAGTCCAATCCCTGCTCTGCATTTGAAAGGTTCTTTAGCCTTCTCTGGGTGTGGTGGTACACTCCTTATGGAGAAATTCTTTAGCTTCTGCCCCACACCTACAGCTAGGTTTCTCTGCATTAGAAAAGAAGATGAGACTTTCTCTTGATGTGATTATCACCAAGGGATACACCTGGCCCAATATGACTGAGCCCTTACAGATTTGCTAACTGCTTCTTATTGTCTGTAACCTGGCAACGAATCTATGAAGTGTCATGAAACATACCTGTGTAATGTCTCCTTGTACTATAAATAAAGAGGCCCAGTTTGTCTGGGTGGCTCAAGCAGCTCAAGCAGCAGCTCAGCCGTGGCACAAGTTGCTTGTGCTACCTAGGCTCAGGCTGCCTGTGTCCACTTCTACTCTGTCTCTTTGTCTCATTCTTTCCAATTCTCCAGTCCTCGCAAGATGGAGGGCTTTCTCGTTCTCATCCTCTTTCTCTTCCTCACCAGCAGCCTCTGATCATGATTCAGCTAGACCCAAGACCTGGGGCGGATGCCAGCATTGTCCTCTCTACGTCTTTTTCTACCCTCCCAGAGGGACTAGATAGGTCTAGAATCACAGTTCTGAAATACCCTAGTATTGTAAGACTCCCTGGTATCCTCCCTTTTACTGAACAACCTGTGAAAAAAGGAGATTCAGCTCTTCAGACACCTGAATAGAATACTCCTCTTCGGACCACATTGCAAAACACAACAGAAGAGAGACTTCGGCACACATCAGTCTACAGCAAAAGGGAAACACACTTGCTCCTAGTTGAAGAAACATTCTCCTAAAAGGTATTCCAATGTGAATACAACCCCCAAGGGCTAGAAGTAGAAGAAGAGCCTCAGGTATGAATAAGCCAGGAAATATGTCTCCATCAAAAGAACACAGTACCTCCCTTACATTTCTCAAAAAAACAGAAGTTACCAAAATGTCAGAGAAAGAACTTAGAACATTCATGATGACCAAATTCTATGAGTTGGAACAAAAAAGAGAGAATGAACTACAGGAGATTAGGAAGTCCTTCCATGATATGAAAAACCTCTCCAAAAAAAAAAAAAAGAAGAAGAAGAAGAAATGGACACGCTTAGAAAGAATCAGATGGAACTATTAGAGATGAAGTTGATGTGGATGGGCCCAGAATTCACAATAGCCCAAGGCCAACCATTGCCATCCTAGGCCTCTGTGAATTCACTGCCTCTGCCTCTCCCCCTCTGAAGTGATAAAAAATAAACTGAGACATTGAGAAGCTAAACACCCTGCTTATCTGACCCTTTTTCCCCCCCGAGAACAAACTCTGGGCTGCATCTTCCCAATGGGCTGCTTCTTCCTGATAGGCTACCCCTTAGCCCGCTGGAAACCGCTCCTCCCTAAACTTCCCGATAAAAGACTGTGCTCAACCCACAAGCAGGGCCAGAGATTCTGAATGTTAACTCCTCTGGCCTGCTGACATATTAAAGAGTTACTCCTATCTCTCCAGAGTGCTGCCTTTTCGTTCCTCAGACATCTGGTTTTCTGCAACAAAATTTGTAATACAGGAAATCAAAAACTCTTGAAAGTATTAAAAGTTGATTAGACCATGCTAAAGATAGAATCTCTGATGTAGAAGATAAAACCTCTGACCTGGAGAAAACCACAAAAAAGATAGAGAAAATAGCATCAATGACCAGAAAAAAACAAGGATAATATATGAGAAATACTAGATTCTATTAGATGTCCTAACATCCGAATAATTGGTATCCCAGAAGGTGAAGAAACTAATAAAGGCATGGAAAATCTATTCCATGAAACCCTGGAAGAAAATTTCCCAAGTCTAGAGAGGCACTCAAACATCCAGACCCAAGAAATACAAAGGACCCCAAATAGAATCAAGCCAAGAAGATCTTCCCCAAGGCACATCTTAGCTAGACTGACAAAAAAACACAGATAAAGATAAGATACTACAACTGGCAAGAGAGAACCAACAAGTGACTTACAAAGGTCACCCCATCAGACTAACACCGGACTTCTCAACAGAAACAACACAAGCAAGAAAAGAATAGGAACATGTTTTGAAAGTGTTAAGAGAGAATCAATTTCAACCAAGATTATTATATCCTGCAAGATTATCCTTCATATTGGAAAAAAAGATTAAAATCTTCTCAGCCAAAACCTGAAAGAATTTGCCAACACCAGACCAGCTCTTCAAGAAAGCCTGAAGAAAGTACTGTTCAAGGAAAACTAAAGAATGAACCACCAGGGGACCAGCAATTGGTGTAATAGCTATGTCGATGGACTCCCATGTAGTCAACTGTGGTTCAAGTCCCAGACTTGGTGGCTTAAACTCCCGCCAGGCACGTGTGCTTGTGTGCCCAAGATCCCAAGAGGAGGAAAAGTGATTGCAGCATGGCCATCTCCCCTGAATGGGGGTGATTTCTTACTTTCTGTCTCTCCTTCTGGTGAGCACACACACCCTATAGTGAAAACCTCCCCAAAAAAGTGAAAAAAAAAAGAATGAACAGCCAGAAATAAAGTAATAAAAAGCAACCAAGACAATGGGCAACTTAAATGTTGGGACGGGTCCAGTAACATTGGTAATAACATTGAACATTAATGGATTAAATTCTACAATCAAGAAACACAGACTGGCTGAATGTATTTAAAAAAATTAAAAAAAAAAAAACCAGAAACCCTCTATTGCCTATAGGAAACCCACCTCATGGATAAAGACATGCATAAACTGAAAGTGGTTGGAAGAAAGGTTTTCCTTGCAAATGGGAATCAAAAAAGAGCTGGAGACATGATACTAATTTTTGACAAAATAGCCGTTAAAACAAAAACTATTCAAAGAGACAAAGGGCACTATATTGTAGTAAAAATGTCAATTGATCAATAAGATATATAAACATCTATGCACCTAACACAGGAGTACCCAAATATGTGAAGGAAAACTGTTAGATCTAAAAGGGGAGATGGACTGCAGTATGCTAATTGGTAGAGACTTCAACACTGCACTATCCCCTCTGGACAGATCATCTAAACAAACAAACAAACAAAAAATAGGTAAAGAGATAAAGGATCTAAACTATGCCATAAATCTAATGGACTTAACATATATCTATAGAACTTTCATCCAAAAACCACAAGAACAACTTTTGTCTCACCCCTACATGGAAACTTTTCAAAGACTGACCACATGATAGGGCACAAGGCAAGCCTCTACAAATTCAAAGGCACAGAAACTATGTCCAGCATCTTCTCTGCGTTAACTTTTTAAAAAATGTAGCAGACTTTGGACCAACAGGTGGCATTATGGTTAAGGCACTGACTCCCACATGGCCAACTCCATGGTTTGGGTACTGAGCCCAGCAGCTTGAAAAACATACCGGGTACATTTGCATGCATGTCCACAATCCCGAAAGGAGAAGGAAACGCAGCATGGTCACCCTCTCCATCCTCCACCCCACCCAAGAGTGATTTCTCACTTTCCTTTCTCTCTGTCTCACTGTCTCTCCAGCAAGTGTACATGCCCTGGGAAAAGAATTTAAAAAAAAAAAAAAAAAAAAAAAAAAAAAAGGAAAAGAAAACTCCAGGAGAAAGGAAATAATAAAGATATGAGCAGAAAGAAATGAAATAGACAATAAACTATACAGAAAATAAATTAAAGCAAAAGCTGGTTCTTTGAAAAGATAAAATCGATACACTACTAGTAACACTTATCAAGAAGAGAGATGAACCAGATAAATCAAATCTGCAAAGAAGCAGGCAATATAATAACAAACATAGTAGAAATACAAAACATCATTAGAGGATACTATGAACAACTATATGCCAAGAAACAAGACAATCTGGATGAGATGGACAAATTCCTGGACATATATCATCTACCAAGATTGAGCCCAGAGGACACAGAAAGTCTGAATAGGCCCATAACAAGCCAGGAGATTGAATCAGTAATAAATAACGTTAAAAAAAAAAAAAAAAAAAAA